TGATGTCAGGGTTATCAACTATTTATTTTATCCTAAACTGATGATCTGGCAAAAGTTCCTGGTAGAGGAGCATAACTACCAGATACCATATATAGGGATGCTGAAAACAAATCTGTAAATATATGTTTGAAGATTCTAGAAAATATGCAAATTTAATATGCAAACCATACAATGGAAAAAAGTATTTTTATTCTTCACATAAACACTACCTTGCACTTCAACTTGTCAGTCAGACTGATATTGCTAATTCATAGACATATCTTGAGTACATATCTTTGTACATTTAATTATAATCTTGCCGTATTTTATTTAGATAACACAAGTAAATTTGGAATTATTGCCAACATTCCATTTTGAATTCAGGTTAGTCTATTGGACCAGCTATTGCATATATGGTTAAACACCTAAACAAGCAATGCATCTGGTTCAGAATGGTCACTCTTCTAGAGGTGTCTAAGAATTAAATTTAGCAAGTCCAGAGCTAGATAGAACAAACTTTCTTAGCCCTGTCATTACAGGTAGGTCAAAGTGCACATTGTGACTTTTTAGAGTTACATTCAAAATTTAATCAAACTACAAGGAAATATTTAGTATGAGAATTGTGACATTTGCTTTCTAGGTCTTCCCCCTTCTCTAATTTATTTACCACCCCTCTGAAAAATAGAGAATTTAACATACGTTACTCATAAATATTACTCAGGCAAACCATAATCTTTGTAGCCTTCAATCTTATTTGTTTACAGAGCCATAAACTAGAAAATCAGACCCATTTGTGACACTTGCCTGTCACATCCTCTTTCACAAATTGCCAAGAGTTTTCTCTGTCATTTGATACTATATTATTTATAACCAAAGTTTTAATCTATCAAATGACATATTATATTACATTGTTTTCTGTATAGCCCATTGTCTATATCACCTTCAGTTCTAAACTTCTTGTTCACAGGAATCAAATCGACAATCTTAGCTGAATTTCTAAAGACTCTTATCGCATAGATAGAAAGCCAAAAAAGTTATTATAATTATACGACATTGTTTGCTTTTTGTATGATATTACTGTGTCCTTAAGTATGTTATTTAACTGAATAAAAAATTATTTAGTGTAGTAGTACTATTAGTACAAAAAAGTAGGCTTACGTTTTATCAACAGTCAAAAAAAAAGAAGAGGTAAGTACTATATTTCTTGTTTTTCATGTGTGATCTTTATTAATTAATATAAAAGTAACTAAAATGTAAAAAATTAGAAATTTTTAGGCTAGATAAGGTTAGATCAGCTAAAATAAAGAAAAAATAATATAAACAAATTTTCAAAAGCTATGCTCACAAGTAGCAATTGCATTACGTAATTCAACAGGGTAATATGAGCCACATGTTACCAAGTGATTTATAACTTGTGTGGTGTGATTATTAGTTAGACATAGTTCAAATAGCAATAAAAGCATAAAATTAAGTTAAAAACAAATGTGTACTTTTATGAGTTCTAAAGTTATTTAGGATAAACAAATTAGGTTCACTTTTGCAATTTGCAGTCATTCTAGAAGGAAAAAAAGGGGTTATTTAGATTAATTTTGTATTATTTAGGGTGATTACAAGGTCAGTCAAATTGACCAAATGCATATAAAGTTAGGGTAGAGAAAATAACAGATAAAATATATAGTTTTATTGAAAAAATAAAAAAATATTTGATACTCATTTAGAAGGTTTCAGAGATTATACAAATGAAATTTTCCAATTTTCAGATGCAGAAAAGTATTTTTAATTTTAACATGAAAATCAATTTGCACTTGAAGCAGTCAACACTTTGACTCCATATATTCATGGAAAAATGTTTAGTAAAAACTTCATTAAAAATCCTGATTTTTTTTGTCTACAAAAGGCATATAATGTATACTGAAAGTCTGCAAAACTTCATGACGATACAAAGTTATAGTACGAAAAATCTTAAGGTTTGTTTGTTGGAGGTTAAGTACAAAGCAACACCATTGGGTATCACAACTTGAATTTTAGCATTTAAAGTCCACAGACATACCATAGTGTCACTGGAGGGCAATTCTAAAGGTCAGTTTGGGGTAACGAACTTGGTTAAATTGACCAAGCCCATAGCGAAAGAGTTAATGTATTGAATTGTAAGGTCTAAAGTACACAAGTGTAATGAGAAATAGAGGCAATGAGTATACACAGTGCAAGCCTGTATACAGGTTTTGAAAAGGGGTGTTCTTAATTCAAAAATTAGGGCAACTTTCCATGATTATCCTAGGTAAGTGAGCACAGTGGGCACAAAGCCCATGCAGTGTAAAGAGATGCATTTTTTGTGGCATTCCTGAGCCTGTTTCTTTAATTTCAGAAAGGATCCTGATCTTATAAAAACAAAATAATTTCAGTTAACTGATGTTTAATTTTCTCTTATTATGTGAACACTCAATAAACAAGAACACTATACATGTATCATTAGAATAAATAATAAATTAAAATGAAAAAATCATGAGTTCTGAGTTAATATAGTAAATTTAGAATGTGCTTCAGCTCCATCCTTCTTGGATGTTTTCCCATGAATATTTTCACAGTAGTTTCAGTATCAATGTTCTGATTGTAGTGAATATGCATGAGAGCTAGTGCACTTAGTTTTTTCTTGGCCCATGGAACATTGCATATAGTTGTTCAAGCAGCCCAGTGCACTAAAACTGCACTCACATTGGCAGGGGGTAACAGGTATAACACATGCAATTTTAAGCAAACAGTGAATATTTGGGTACAACAATTCATTACAGTGTTTTATAGCTATGGTGTAATTTTTTTGTTAAACCTGAGTCTTTCCATTTGCTGAATTTCATTTTCCAACCATTGAATTCCTCAGATAAAACATCAGGCAAAGGCAAATTATTTTTATACATTTTAATGACTACTTTTATGTCCCTGTGTGTATACCTTTTATAGCACTTGGCAAAAGTGCCAACAGTTTAGGCTGAGTCGGAAAACTGAGTATTTAGTTTTGTTATTACGTGCTCAAGAAACAGTATGATAATATTCCTGAGATAATGTTGCATTGGTGTTTTTGCTGTCACATTAGCTCAGCGTATGTGTCATTTAGCAACTCTAAGCATCATAGGTTCGATTCCAACAGGCTGTGCAACCCTAAATGCATGGTCAAATGTATCTTTGAAATATGAGTCTACATTAGAACTTATTAATGCACACTCTTCCCTCAAATCATCCACTAATAACATTGCCTCAATTGTGTCAATGGCCTCTTTCTGTAGTTACACTGTTATTCCTACCAACTGAGAGAGAAGTTTGTAGTAAGCTATAACAAATGTCATTATGAATGTGAAAGTCCTATAATGAATGGAGTAGTGATGTGGCACAAGACTTAGTGTCACTATCCAAGTTACCAGTTTGAACCAAATGGGTCAATTCCTTCATCCCTGCTTAAGCCATATACAATGATCTTCAGGCATTTTATTATGTAGCAATATGATGGACAAAAATCCTTGTAAACTTCATGACGTTCAGCCAAACTAGTTTTACACAAGTCCAGTATTAGTATCTTTTTGAACTATTGAATGGAACACATGTTTAGATAACCTTTTTCAGCAATGCCTCATGCTTTGGGTTCTTGTTAAAAAGCAAAGATGTATCCTTCAATTTTTCAAACATATTACAGATATAAGAAAATCCACAAGAATGCACGATTTAAAGCACAACTATTGCAGTGCATATACACTGCCAAAGGATCTTCCTTTTGTATATCTGATTGAACACCACTCCCACTGTTTGACATGGCTGCTGCACCACAGTATCCTGGCCCCTCATATACTGGATTTTGATCCCTAAGTCATTCAGTAATTATAAAATGGTATGTGCAATCACTTCTCCTGTAGTTCATGCCAATAGAAAAAAAACTGATAAATTCTTCCCACACACAATTACCACTATCAATAAACCTCAGGCAGATTGACATTTGTTCTTTATTGTGGGTCACCACTTCATGTTTGATTGAATGATGTCTTTTCCAATCTTTGAAATGAGTTCTTTATGGATGAATGGTGACTAGTATGTAGTATTCTTATGTCGTTTATTCAGGTGTGACATCATGTATTCATTGTGCCAATTCATTAACTTCAGTACTGCTAAGAAGTTCCTTGGGTTTCCTTCTTTGTTCACATTTTCTGAATCACCTCTGAGTAATAGACATTGCTTTCCGAATAATATGGTTGCCATAATAATGCAAGCCAGTACATCCTTATTTTGGTCGGTGGGCTCCTGTTTTCCTATCTATGAATACTGGTACAGCTACTCGTTTCTCATCATTCACATTTATAAATGTTTCTGAATCAACAACAGCCCCAGAATGCAACTTTGATGATGCACGAATTTGAAATACATCCAAACATTGGGTCCACTTGGTAAATGGCTGATTCACTAAAGACCTGCCTCCTGTTCAATTTTAAGCAAATAAAGAACACTGAATACAGAAAATATCATCAAGTTTATAGCTGTAAGCAATTCATGGATATTGACTCTTCCATTTATTGTAATTGAATGAACAGTTGCAATCATTCATATATACTGCCAGAAATCTGTATGATGTATCAGGTTTCATGTGATTTTTCAGCAAACAATACTTTTCATTAAAAATAGTTTTCTGAATTTCATCCCTGGGTATCGATGTATTGATGATTTTATTAATATCATCATACAGTCTGATTATGGAGGATCACCAAGTTCAACCGAATGAATGCAAGAATTTTATTTGCTTTACATTCATTGGTGGCATTATTAGAAAAAGTGCTATAAATTTAAATACATTTTTGTGGTTTTATATTTGTAAAAGAACAAGCCAATCTTTAAAATGTTTAAATGACTGAGAAACATCATGTTGGTCAAATAAATTGGTACATGTGGCACAGTAAGAAAAGGATGAATACAAGTGTAAAATTTAAAAATCTCAAATAAACATATACTGAAACACAGTTTCTTATTCATAATGTGTTTAAGTTTACCTTTCAGAATTGGCCTTATGTTGAACAACGTCTCTATAAGCTCTTCTTGGTGCCAATTTAGGGGATGGTTCAGGTTTTTTGCTGCTTTCAACCTTGGATAGCACAGTGTCAAACATCTTTTTAAATGGGTTTTTAGGAGATTTGTTTGGAATGGCTGTAGCAAAATAATATACTGCATAGTCAATACTCTCATGGTGCACTGATTAACATATCATAATATTTTGTAGAGAGTTTTTGTTAAGAAGTTCCATTCACTTAATAAAATTACTTGTTCATTATTCTTCATATTTTATAGGTTACAAGATTTGGTAATACAAACACTGATAACACTACTCAAATGAAATGTTCCTAGAATTTGAAGAATCTGATGTATAATAATGCCAGTACCAGAAAAGTATATATTTATAGATCTATTGAACCAGAAATATTCAGATTCAATATTAGCTACAATTCAAAGTACATAGTTAATGAGACAAGCCATTGTTTTATCTTTTAGACACTTGTCAAGTTTAATGTTAATTCCACGAAAATGGTAAGTGAAAGTGATAATATATATTTATAAAATCTTTCTTTTTAAAGTGTCCAGATAAATATTTATCAGTACCATTTTACATGTCTTAGAGCATTTAGGCTAATTAGTTTTTAAATGGTAAACACTAAGGATAACTTCCATTCACAATTAACCCATAAATATCACCATTTTTGGATGCTTCTTTGGCTCGAATTCTTGCTGCTTCATCCACAGTACTCTTATAGTGGTTTCTTATAGTATAGAAGTCATCATATTTCTATAAATAAGTATAAAATTCATTTCATTTTTTTTATTATCAACACAAGTCATGTTTTAAAGAAATTTTGTTATAACAAAGAGCAATGTTACATAACAGTTTCAACTAACTATTATTACTTTGAATCAAAATGAATCAAATGGTCTTCCATTCAGTTATGTGCTTTGAGATAGCTTATGAACATGCCTATTATGGTGCTTTCATATAGTTATATCAGTGTGAAGTGGCTTGTTTACATTTTAAAGGGTGAATTCCAACTTTAGCTGCAATACATTGTGTATCAAAAGTCATAAATAATATGACGTTACAAGTCATCCTCAGGAGTCTGTAATGTCGAAACATGTAGAGTTGTCAACTTTTTGAAGGCCATAGATAGGCCTAAATAAAATGTTTTTAATTGTGTACCAGTTTAATGTTGAATATTATTTATGATTTTAACTTTATACACAAGTGCCAAAATACTACGAGATTGTGTATCTTTGGATTAATTCCTGTATGTGAGCTTTACATAATTTTATAATCACAAAATATTAGAACTTCACATTGGAAAATCCAGTAATGTATTCTTAGGACATGTCAAATTTAGACATTATCTACACATAAAAATTAAAACATTTCAATTTAAATGTAGCAAGACAGTCGGGGTCATAAGTTATGGGGATGGCCAGGGGCAATGTGACTGGATATGCAAACTTTTACCATAGATTATGTATAACCCTCTGAAACACATGTTAATATTTTTTGATGGAGATATGTTTGGACTTTATAAGGAAGTAGATATTTTAATATAAATTCTATAGTTTAAATAATGAAAACAAAGTTATTTTCAATTTCCCCATTTAAAATGTTTATCTTAGAAACATCAGTACACATATACACCAGTAAATATTAATTAATCTTTACAGAGAATTTTCAATTGTCTTTAATAAACAATGTACTTAAATATTCACATTTATAACAATTTATTATTACTGGATTCTAACTATAATATATTACTTATAATCTGAAAATCTTCTGTAAAAATATTTAGAAAGAATACAGACTGAAAAAAATACAGAAAATATGTTGCATTTTTATGAAGAATGCTTACATAGGGATTATTGAAGGACAACATTAAAAAAAATTCTAAAAACTGGGGACTATCTACAAAGTACAAATGTATAACAAAATCTCAAAATATAAATTGAACTTAGTAAAATAAGCTAAAACTTAAATGGATAGTTCATCTTTCTATGTATGGCTCTTTCCACAAAGGAACAAACATGTGGTGCACGCATATACTTGAAATACTAAAACTGATTTTTCAGCAATATACAAGAATTACAAAACTTTGCCCTGTATTTATCTTTGTAGCATAACATCTGACAAGAACTGGAAGCTATCATTACCATAAAAGATAAACTAAATAGTTGAAAATTATATACCTCGAAAAATGTTTTGGAAATTCAATTAAAGGAATTTCACATAACCTGAGTGCTTTTGAATGGCGAACCTTTCTTATTCAGGGGCAAACTGAGAATCCTAGAAAAAAAGGTCCACTTTTTGAAAGTGCTTGGGTTATAGGGTTTTTACCATTTTGTATCAAGACTTCTATTTCTAACATTTTGAAATGTATAGGAAGAGAAGTAACTCATGCATACACTGACAAGGAAGTAGTATAAAGAATAAGAATTATTATCTTTTTTTGGTGTAGCTTGTACAGAAATTTAGAAGGAATTATACATCAATCTCTTAGGATAGCAGACTGAGAAAAGATGTCCATGATCAGCATACTAAAAATGATGCATTATAAAAAATGTACAGTGAAAACATTATTCATATACTTATACCATCTTCATAAACCATTATATTTAATGAGTCATTTATTGTCATTTTTATCTCTTGGTGTTCAATGGCTTTTTGTTTTATTGTTCAAACAGACTGATCATGTTATGTATTAAGCAACTGATTTAACCCTAAAAATATACAGATGCAATTATATCATGGTGGTTTGCCTACAAGACAACGGGTTAAAGCAAGGACTTCTCCATCTTTCAGAGTAGCATAATAGTGGATATCCATCAAACAAAGAGAACAAAGAAGTTTTTACACAGGCTAAAACAAAAAAAAGAGCTCTGTCATTAGTCTAACAATTATGGTAACTGGCATGGTGTATGTCAGCTACTAGAAAAACTGGTATGCTAACTGCTAGTGACTAAGGAAAAAGAAAAAGGAACAAACCTGTTAATTGCAACAGATGTAACAACATGTTCCAAAATATTAGTTCTTTCATCACTAATAATAATTCATCACAGTTGATAATTTCTAATCATACCATGGAAAAGAATTATACAAATTTTCACATGTGGGTCAATTTTGATTTGCTTGTTTTAATGCAAAGCTACGCAATGGGTTATCTGTGTTCTGTCCAACATGGGCAATTGAACCTCGGGCTTTAGCATTTTAAGTCTGTTAACTTACCACTGATCCACTGGGGGACCACAAGGTGTTCAAGAAACAGCACAAAAAACCATAAGATGCAAACAAGTAAAGACAGCTTTAGTGGCACTTAATATGAGCAATAAATGACTAGAAGCAAGCATGTGGTCTAATGAGTTTCATTCCCCCTGATCTGTACTGAGAGTAGCATATAAATATGGAGAACACTATATAGGACATTTCACTCTGCTTATGTTGTTCCTACAGTGCAAGCTCCTAAAGATGGTGTATTAAATGGCATTAAGACACTTTTCATTACAGGGTTTGAATCTTTTCATTCCTTTATAAAGACAAGTAACATATAATGTGTTCCTGAACACTGTTTTCAATCATGTCCACTTTATAGTACTGTATTTCAAGCTTGACTGACAAGGGCTTTTCCAAAATGGTAGTGCAACAATGCCTTCAGTTTGTATGGAATAAGACTGAATGTTATAGGTGGTTAAGTACATTATATTACAGCAATTTCTAATATGCAAATCAGCAAGTCACATGAAAACCACAGTTGACATACAGTCACAGTGAAATGGAATGCATCAGAACTACATTTCGACATTTCTAAGGTAGTATTGCTTTATTGTTTATGGAAAGGTATGTAATAGCCCCTTTCTGACTAAAAAAATATTCAAACACTTAGATTATAAAGATCTAGATTGGAGATTTTGATTTTCTAAGATGGGGATATCCCTTGTACTTAATGACACAAATATGGATCAATTTGTGGCACTAAGACCAATCAGAAAGAGATCTCTAACTTAAAGTTGTACCTCAGCCATGGTACACAAAGTGTGGAATCTTGTAACAGGTAAAAATCATCAGATATAAAGGTCAGTGGCAAAAGTAATCCATGTGCCCCAAGCAATATAATAAAGAAGGATCTCCATCTCGAAACAAGAGTACTGAGAAACTGTCATCCTTGTACACTAGACGAATTTGGAAAGCATACATGTGGTAATGTTGCTCTCTCGACATGACAGCCTTACGATAGAGCCTTTTGCAATGTAAACTATGCTGCAAGGTTATTATTAAGATGAATAATTGTCAGATAAAGAATGGTCACACATGGCAACATAACTGTAAGGATGAGATAATAAGACTCCAAAATTGTTTTAATATAACATACTCAACCCTCTGTATTCTGCAGTAAGTAATTGTAAATCAGTTCTTATAGACTATACTCTTCACTAAATGAGATACAATTAAACAAAACACTTTTTGGTATCTTGTGAAGTCTGTAACACCAAATCCTAGCTATTTTCATGGTGAATAGCAGTCTAAAATGATATTACATGTGGATCCCAATTAAGTGACCAGTTGGTGCAGATGATGGACATGTTGCAGCTAAATAAAAATATCTAAGTTATGGAACATAAAATCTTTAACATAATAAAATTATGATTGAAAATAATACTTAATTTAAAAAGTTGAACATGAGAAGTAAACACATAAAAACTGTTGTAAAGATCACCTTGTTTTATCATAGAAATAAAAAGTAAGTAGAAACTATCAGTCTCAAATGTTTAATTTATAATGTATGAAATGCAGCAGAAGTTGTATGGATAAAGTGGACTGGAAAATATATTTATATACTCAATTTTTTTTTCCAGTTTGCACGTCCAAATAATAAAACTATTTATCAATGAACCTGATATGAAAAATTATTTTACATCTTGAAGTATAGTTGCTTTGTATTACTCATGTAAAAATTAGAATAACTTAATACAAAAGCAAGTTTTATCTTGTTAACAACTTACCTCTCCTAAAACCTTCCTTTTCTTCTTTAGTAAAGCTAACTTCTTTTTCAACACAGGTGTTGATAAGGAAGTAATATTCTGTGAACCAAATGATTTTCATGCATGAATAACAAAATCAAATCTTGAACACAAGAAAAACTATCAATCTACAGTGATGAAGATATTTTTGTATCGTCAAAGAACTTTTTAACTTAAATTAATAGAAATTATGTACTTAATCTTTCAAGATCTCCCATAAGACTTAGAAACAAAATGACAACGTGATTTCTTTAAAATGGTTTTATATATATCTATGTATGTGTGTGCATGTGTATTATTACCTTACCATTGTGAATATATATCAGATTTAAAAGATTAGGTTATTACTAACATATTAAAACTGCTACGAACATTAATACCTGGGTGTTAATTCTCCTTGAACAAAACATAATGTTGTAAGGAATAGGTAATAAATTGTCTTCAATCTTTTTTATTTTGATCTATGGTCAACAAAGAGGTATGTGTGCCACTAAATCAAGGACCTCAGTAATTCTTGGGGAAGGGGATTATTACATTATTCAAAAATAAATCAAAACTTATTACTCTTTGTACAAACACAACGTACTTTCAACTTAAAAGACTCATTTTACAAATACATTTATGGTTTAACAATAAGCTCCTCTGTTTTCCCAATACCCATTGAAATATTCATGGAGAAATTTGAAAATGATGTCCTGTATACAACTGACAAATCTACAAAACATTTAGAAACAACATGTACATGATACTTTTATTATCTGGTCCATATGTTATACATAACAGAAGATTTTTATTTAATCCAAATGCTAAGCATCCCAACATTTACTTCATCTTACAACTTGAAGAAAATAGATCCCTCCTCCTCCTGGAAATTGAAGATAGTCACCTTTTAATCACCATCTATAGAAAACTAGCTCATACCAATAAGTACCTCAATTACAGACCCAACCACCCACAATCCACCAAATACAGAACCCAGAGAGAACTCTCTAACAAACCTCAAACAATTATCACATTTCCTCTTACACCAAGACTCTCAGCTATATGATGCAAATAATATGCAAGAAATTTCAAATAAAAGTTCAATTTAAATCAAACAAACCCCTGGTAACCTCTTAACTTTTGTCAAACAGCCTAAAGATGAACTCATAACTATAGAAGCAATCAATGAAACATCTCACAACTGTGTAGACAAATACATAAGAGAAAAAAGTAGGCATTTAGAGTAACAATTAATAGAACAAGACCCTGCTTGATTAATGAAAACAAACACCTCCATCATAGGGGAACATGCAATTGAAACGGGACATAAAATATACTGGGATAAATTCATAGTTACTGACAGAGAAAGAAACAAAAGTAAAAGAAGCTACATATATTAGAAACCAAAAACCAATACTGAACTGAGACCTAAGAATAGAAGTTAATAGTATCTGATTTACACTGATCAAAGAACCTAACAATCACAAAAAATGATCTTCAACCAATAAAAATCAACAGCCAACATTGTAACAGATTCCTCAACAAGTATGATTCAAACACTAAAAATTTTTCTTTTGTTCACACAATACATCACTGATATGAAGGAGCATGCAAGTGATCCAAAATGTTGCCCAACTTAAATTAAAAGGGCTTCACTTTACAAATTGTTTAATAAATTTTACTTGCCAATAATGTCTTTAAAACAATACCCCCATCCTTCATTTTAAGTGTTTAATCCCAAGTGTACTTGACTTGACTTAGTAGTTCTAAATGAATTATTTAATTTCAAATACTTTAGAAATATATTTTACTTATATCATTAAAGGTTATAGTTTGATTGCATATATCTTTGCTGTTTTCCATACAAAACTGTTAAAATATTTTTCTATTACATGTAATATTTTCTCAAGATTGTTAATAATGTTGATTTATATGCATCACACTGTTTTCCAGCTGACTATAGTAATCACTAACATGTCCAGGTATACAGACAGACAAACGCATATGAATTTTCTAAATTACTTTAATGTGCAGAAATATTCAATTGTTAAAATTTGTCATTTTTCAGTAACTGAGCAAAAACTCTTAAATACATGCAAGTTTTTTCTTGGTGCTTTCCTTGTTCAGTTTCTTTTTAGTCTTTAGCCGTATGTGCATGGGTTGGGGTTAAAATGTGCATGTCCTGACTTTTTACAGAATTATGTTCAAAATTTAACTAAACTACTTTATTATCAATATATATCAATCAAAATGCAGTCAATAAATTAACTTTTAATATAAGCTTTAATTTCTTAGTTCAAGTGGAAATATTAAAAGAACTGCTCAATATTCACTCTTGTATGTCACAATATATCTGTGCTCTAAGTTTGTTTGTTTGTTTTTAATTTCGCGCAAAGCTACACGTGGGCTATCTGCACTAGCCGTCCCTAATTTAACAGTGTAAG